TTTCATCTTTCTCTTGGCAGAGCTGACATTTGCTGTTAGCATTAATTCTTAGCTTTCATTGGTTTAGAATTCTTGTTCTTGTGCAGCAAAAATCAAGCCTTCAGTTTCTTTCTTAAGCGTCCCCAGTTTTAGCCATGCCCATGTTGAATTGTTATTATGCTTTCCATCAATATTTCTCTGGTGTTGTCCTTGTAGTAGTTTGTTTTTCCAACTTTTTAATTTATTTTAATTTAAAATGGAAAATAGGGGGAAAAGAAAAAGAGAAAAATATCTGTAGCACTTTGAAGATTATCAGAGTCATTTCCAGAATAACTTTCATGGATCAGAATATCCTCCATCAGGCAGAAGTGGGTTTTGAGCCATGAAAGCTCAGACGAAAATAAATACAGTCTTTAAAGTGTGTCAATAATTTGCATGTCTCTTTGCATTCAAGCTAAAGTCTGCAGCTGCCTGAATGCCCAGTGCCCCCTTGTCTGACTAAATCGGAAATAAGGGTTAGTTTTATTTCTGATATGCACTGTTTTCAGAGGCTTACACAGGACTATTGCAAACTTCAGCATAGCAGTGAGTTGTTATGACTGCATGGCTGCGAAGAGCAATGCAGCCGTAACAACAGCACACCACATTGTACTCACAGTGTTCAGTAGAAAAACCTTGAATGCTTAGTGGATGCAACCTGAAGGGGTGGGAGGAAGGTGGTTTAATCCCAAACAGTTTTAAAAACATCTGAGAATGTTCAGAGTTCAAAGTTTCAAACTTGGGCAATCAGGCATCAGAATGACATTAAGGACAGAAATGGTGAAAAGAAAGTGGAATTTGTGATTTGGATTAGAATTAATGATACAGAAAATGAGTGACCTCATAATCGGACTCAATTGTCACATGCTCTTTCCTCTGCAGGGCTTCAGGACACTCTGCCTACCTCCACACTGGCCAAATATCTCCCTCAAAGGGCAATTCAGAAGCAACACATGGAAAGTAAAATTAGGGCTAGCCCTGGTTGGAGAGACCCAGCACAATGCAGTGGGATAAAACTGAAGGAAACTACAGGTGACTCTGTGGAGTTCCAGGCAGAAGAGCTGTTCTTACATTTGGCTGAAATAATACAGTTACCCATCTCCTCTCTTCTGTGGAATATTAATGGGAGTACAGGACCCTGGTTTCTCTAGCAAGCAGATAACATAAGCAGTAAAGAAGTGTCCTCCTCATATGTCTTTTAAGAATACAAATCTTCAATACAGTGGACCCTTGACTTACAGACGGCTTGACTTACAGACTTTTTGAGTTACAGACTTCTCTGGCCGCAACATTTAGGTTTGACTTGCAGCCTGAGAACTGACTTACAGACCAGAAAAAAACCAAAATGGAACAAAAACGGCCTGTTACGGGATTAATCGGTTTTCAATGCACTGTAGATCAATGGAGACTTGACCTACAGACTTTTTGACTTGAGAACCGCCTTCCAATATGGATTAAGTTCTCAAGTCAAGACCCCACTGTAGTGGTATTAGAACTCTGACCCATTTTCAGGGTTGGGAGGAAGGAGATGAGAATATGGTAGAGATGAAAATTTGTAGAGTGCGACCTAGAAGCCTTGAGAAAAAGAGTTGCATAAGGTGTGAACCTGGGTCCTGATCCTTTACTATTGTTGACAGACTTGTAAGAGAATAGGAAAAATGTTTCTCCTCTGATTTGAATGATCTACCTTGCTCTCTTACAAGGGGTGTAAAGTGTTCTGCTCTGTTTCTGGCAATGAATATAATTTGCACCTGGAAGCCTGTGCTGGGGTGGGGAATGCAGTGGGAAGAAAAATGGAGGTTACAGTCTATTACTGTTCAGCAGCTTAGGAGTGGAAACCTCCTGTTCTCTTCAAACAGATACAGTGGACCCTCTACTTACGGAATTAATCCGTATTGGAACGGTGGCTGCAGGTCGAAAAGTCTGTAGGTCGAGTCTCCATTGACCTACAATGCGTTGAAAACCAATTAATGCCGTAACCTGCCATTTTTATTCCATTTTTGTTCCATTTTGGTTTTTTTCTGGTCTGTAAGTCTATTCTCCAGCTGCAAGTCGAACCTAAATTTTGCGGCCAGAGAAGTCTGTAACTCGAAAAGTTTGTAAGTCGAGCCATCTGTAAGTCGAGGGTCCACTGGTATGTTCCATTTTTTTCACAGTTTAGACCAGTTTAGCCCTCAACCTTGTGGAAGACGCCTTGAGATTAGTATCCAGTGCAGAGGATGACAAAGGGGCAGGCTTGATGGGCACCAGGGCTTGTAGCAGAGTCCTGTTCCCGTTTTCATATTCATGCCTTGTGGCCTGTTGTGTCTTCATAGTTACTTGGGTTTGGAGGGGCTTCTACAGTATAAGCCAGCAGAGGCCTGCCACTCAAGGCCTGGAGGGGAAAATTTGTCTGTAACAGGCTAGGGAATGGTGTTGATACTTGTGTGTTGTCCTGTTTCAGGACCTGTAAGTGAGTGCTGTTTTCTCATTGGGTCTGTCTTGTAGTATGTGGGCAACAGGTTTTGTAGTGTGTTCCAGGTGGAAGATGGAGGCATACAGTAAACTAATAATTGGTTTGTTTAACTACGTATAATGTAGTGCTTAGAGCTGGTCATGGCTGTGTCTTTTATTGCTGAAGCTGAAGTACAGTAGTTTTGAGTGAATTTAGTGGCTTGATGTGTTGTTGCCTCATTCTTAAAGGCTTGTTGTCTATCCTTGTGTGAGATGTTGTAAAGTGCTACTGTGGAAAATAATACTTTTCTCCTCCACAGTCTAGATGGCAGGCAGTCTGTTGCTTACAGCTTTCCATTCTTAAACAGATATTGACACACAGCAGGTTTTCATGTGAGTACACATTGTGTAAATTTGTTAGTGGTGATTGTGCAACTTACTCAAACAGTAGGAGCATTTATGTAAACCTTCTGGCCATAGCTACAGCGATCTGCCTGTCTATCGAGTAACCATGATATCTTAATATGTTGAACCAGAAAATGACTTGAGGGTTTTCTGACTCATATTCTGATTTTTAAGCCAGAGACAATAACTATGTGCATACACAAGCTGGGGCTTGGGGCCCATAAGCCAAATTTTAGAGTCTGATATACATAATGTTTGGTCTCTTTTAATCATTGGCATAGAATACTTGTACTGTACTAGAAAAAAGTGAACACCATTTGACCATCTTTTCCTTCGCCTTTTTTCAATTTTTATTGGAAAAAGCCTCATTCCTGAACTTCTTCTCAACATTCTTTTTAGACATCATGAGAGAAGACCACCATGCAGCAGCAAAAGAACTTGAATTTTGAACAGTATTGCCCCTGTTGGTACATGAAGAAGCCTCGAGTGTGGAAGAGGAATGAAGGCCAAGCAGAGATTGTGTCTGACATGAACAGAAGCAGTGCCATGGAGTAGCAGCATTTCCACTCAGCAGAACAGGAGAAGACTAGGAGAGCATTCAGGTCTGTGGGAGCTTTTTTGTATGCTAGCTGCCTGCATTAAAGACCCTGAATTAGTCTTTGGTAATTAGTAGAAATAGGGACTTGAACTATTTCCTTAAAAGAGGTTGTTATGTGCAATCAACACATTTCTGTAAGGAAAAATTAGTGAACCAGATAAACTTGGCAGATGGTGGTACAGAAGCTCTTTCCAAGCTGTGGACACATCGGTACCTCTAGCTATGGAGCCCAAGAAAGATGGCACTCTCCTGTTTTTACATGTAGCCCATCCACATGGGGGGTGGGCCTGAAGTGGAGCTCCAGACTATTCTAATTTTGTGTCATTTCATTCTTCCATCCCAATGCCAGGCATGCAGCTTTCTGTGGGGAACCTAGCTCCTCAGCACACATATAAGATGCCATGCCTCAGAATGGTCACATGGCTGTCCCATACTGCCCCCTGCAGCAGATTCCATAATGTAACTCCCACATATTAGCAACAGCAGATAAAGGTGGCTGGGATTAAATCTGCCTTTTGTTAGGTTTTGATTACAAGGCAGAAGGACTATGGACTGTCCAGAAGAACCCCAAAATAGGTGCTAGAAAAGAAAGGAGAAGAGGGTTTCTGTGGCAGCTGAAGCAGAGATTGGCAAGTTCCTGGGCAATGTAGAAAGGTGTTAGCTGTACTGCATCAATGCAGAGGGTGTCTCTGTACAGAACTTCCAACTGTGCATCCTCTGGAAGTCAAAGTAGAGTGTCCATATTGCACATATAATCCACCACGCCCCTTCCACTTGCAAACCAGACTGAGATGTGATTTGGTTTGTTTTAAAATGTTTTGAAGTTGATAGGAAAAAGGTGGGTAAGGCATAACAAGCCAAGGAACGAACTAAAAATGGAGAGAGTAGGAATGCAATCTGGTCCTTATCTCAGATAGTTTCTCCATTTCAGCTCCCAGGTTTTGGAACGCTCTCCCTTGGGAGATCAGGATGGGCCCTTGTTATCCTTTCGAAAAAAGCTAAAGACCCACCTCTTCAGACAGTCTTTTAACAACTGTAACTGAATCCCTGAATCCCATTTTAGCAGATAATTTTAATCTTTTATATATTTTTTGTTTTAATCTTTTACAGTACTGTACTTATATTTTAAATTGTATATTGTTTAATTCAGCTTTTAATATTTAACTTATTGTGTTTTTAAATTGTGTGAAGTTTAATGTTGTGAGCCGCTTTGGGTCCCTTGTTGGGAGAAATGCAGCATATAAATAAAACTAAATCATAATAATCATAATCATAATAGATCATAATAATAATAATAATAATCTCACAGAAAATGAGGAAGGTACAGCTGCTGCTGCTCTTCCCAAAACTCAAGGAAACAAGATGGGATACAAAAATCAATAAATTAAATATTTTATTCCATAAGTTAAGGAGGAAAATCCAGGAAATGAAGTACTAGCTTTTCTGCGAAAGTAAGCTCCCTTGTGTGAAGAGAGCATTCGTGTCTTTTGTGCTGAGACTTGGCTTTCAACACCCCACTTCCACCCCAAACCACTAACTGGGAATATGCAAAGCAGTTAGAAGAGATGCTACTTCCTGTCCAAAGAGTGGAGATGCTTCTGCTTGTCCTTCTTCCCCTCTGAGCTCCCAGTAGTCCTCTTGTGTAAAAAGAGAAATTAGGGTGGCCATTTAGCCCTAGTTTTTTTGTTCCCCCACATGATAAAAACACATTCATCAAATGACGGAATATGAAAACCTGTATGTTGATGTGCCTTCTCCATGCTTTTATAGTCCATTAATAAAAACTCAACAGTGAGAAAGAGAAAGAGATAATCAAGTTTGTAAAAAGGCTCATATTAAAAGATATTCCTTGTCCCCACACTAATCATCACTTGAAACCATTTTCCTCCCTACTTTTCTTTCCTTCCTGTCCCCTTTTGCCCACCACCCCTTGGGGAGAGAACCAATTGTCTCAGACCCTCCCTTTAACTCTTTAAAACTGAATCCACCCCATACACAGTTGAACATGCCCTTCAGTTGGGGATTAAGTACCCTATAGGCAGACAGAGAAGGTCCGTCCCTCCTGCAGGGCCTAGATAATGCCAAAGGACTCTCTTAAGAGGTGCCAAAACATCATGGGTCTGTGTCACCACCACCCGAGGAGGAAGAGAAGCATCAGAACACTTAGAAATGTAGGACTGAAGGGCCTGGCCCTACTACTGAGCTTCCCTCCACTCTGGTTCTGCCTAGAGGAAGAACCTTTGCCAGGTCGATCCCTACGGGGAGCTCGGGCATCAGGGGAAGGGCGGGAGCCCCCCAGAACACCCCCAGCACTCACTCCTCCAGTCTCTGAGAGGGCTAGGTGGTCTTCAATGTATCCAGCACCGGAACCACTGCCACCATCTTCATCTGGAACACAAAATGTTTGAGGGAGGGAGAGTGTTGAGTTTTGGGGTTCAAAGGAGACTCTCACAGCTTCCATCCCCTAAAACCAAAAAAGGGAACCAAAACGGCACCCAATTGTTCATGGGAAGAAGTCTTTGTGGCTTGCTTACCAACTGCAGCGGAATTCCTACAGCTCCCCCTCCCCACCTCTGGCTGCCCTTCGTATCTAAAAAAACCATTTCAGGGCAATAATAATTCTATGCCAGAATTCCTAGATAAAGTACCATTTCGCCTGGGTATTGTAGACAGGAAAAGACAACACTTTGCACAGATCAGAGTAAAGGACTTATTTCTGGCGTGTATAGAGGGGGTGAATATTTTTTCCAGCCAACAACAAAAACGATAATATATAAAAATAGTGGGGGGAGGGATCGCTGAATGTCCAGTTTTCTTAATTCTATAATAATAGTAATAATAGTGATAATAGTGATAATAGTAATAATCATAATAGAACTATTACTACTGCTACTACTGCTACTACTGCTACTAATAATAATACTAATACTACTACTACTACTACTACTACTAATAATAATAATAATAATAATATGCAGTCAAGTCAATTCTGACTTCTGGAGACTCTTTCCAGATAATCAGAAGTTGTGTACCCTTTCCTTCCTCAAAGAGAGTGACTTTTCCCTGATGGGTAGCTTTTAGGTCAAAGCTTCCCTGCACATAAAAATCCTTCCACACAGGCTCCCTTCACAGTCATACAGCCAGCCTCATACATCTTCTATTACACCCTACATCAACAGGTTTTAATGGCTCCTCCATAAACCCATTTTCACATTCACACTTCAATCCAAGGAGAGAAAAAGACCTTCCCCACCAAACTGTGATCATTTTTGGATGCTCCCACCAGCACCACTATGCATTTCAATTCCCATTCCACTAGAACTTAAAGAAGCCTTCACCAACCATTTGGCAGACCAGGTGGAAGCTCAGTGTAGGATACAACTTTCTTTCAAATGCTGGAACCCCAGCAAGAGCAGATTTGTTCACAGACTAGCCCGTTCCCCCCTCCAAGCTGGACTGAAAGGACAGGACAGGATGAGGCACTTCACTTACCAGGTAAGGTCTCCCCTCCTTTAACTGCTATCTACCTGCTGTTCTCTTATTGCCCCTGAATGGCAGCCACAGCACAGCTAGAGAGAGTCATGCAGTGTGCCGCTGGGATGCCTCCTGCTAATCTTGGGCTGAGCAGAGGCCATCAGGCTGCTCACTACCTCTTCGGCACACTAAAAGAACAGTGTGACAGAACTGCTATCAAAGAACTTGGGGAGATAAGAAAGACAGTCTGGACCAAACAGACTTAAAGGCCACCCTTGTGGTATGCCCCTAGTTTGTGTCTCTGGTGAGTATTGTCAGTTGTTCCAGCCAAGGTGAATTCATAATTAAAAATGATGGTGACTTATTGAGAAAACACTCTTGGCAAGGAATGTATGGATCACTGCCTGAGGCCCTGCCTGACCCTACCCATTCCTGCAGAAATAGGCACTCCACTAGCCATGCCTTCAAACTGGAGTCTGAGATGGTGGGGACGGGCATGCAAGGTAGTTGGGGAGGAACCTCACCTGTGTCTTGAAAGTCAATGTCCTGCCCATGGCAAGCCCCCACCAGGCGGGAGGTAGCAATGCGCAGTGCCAGGACCTGTTGCCTTGTGGGGAGATCAGGGCGTGATATGTCCACCTCTACCTCAGGGTTGTTGATCTGGTTCACCAACCCGTCCCCTGTCACATCTGGGAGGTACCTAGAGTGCCAGGACAGAAAAAAAACTGCTGTCAATGCAGGCAAGGAAAGAGTTCTAGCAGGTGCTGACAATGCACAGCTAGTACACTGCATACATTCATAGCCTTCTGGTCAAAGATGGTACTGAGAGGCTTAGGAGTATGCAGCATATTTTCCATGAGCCTCTCCCTTCCTCTACAGAGGTGAACATTTCCAAAGCAGTTTAAGCAAGCTTTTTAATTATTACTAGAGACATAATTTCTACATCAGACAGGGAGGCGGTGGTCATATCTCTGCCCTGGATATATCCTGCACCCAGACTGGGTTTTCCCCAAGACACATGGCCATCCAGCATCCCTTCCTATCTCCACCAACAGCCTTCTTATTTCTGCCCAAGCCTTGCTCCTTTATGCCCTCTTCACCTCTGTACTCCTACCTGCCCCGTGCCTGCCCATTCCAGCAGCTGTCCTCATTGGTGATTTCAGCAGCCACCTTCTCATCACTGCAGAGGGTGTGGGGCAGCAACACCCAGAAGCGCCTCATCAAACGTAACTTCTCTTTCACGTCCAACACCTGGAGAATCAAGGGAAGGGAGCACCTTTCTCTTGGAAGCTGTCCCTCTGGAACAAATGCATTCTCAATTCACAGCTTTAGAAGGTTTCTCCATAAACCATTCCAGAATTAGAACCAACTGGAGAACAGCTGGCTGTTGGTGTAAGTTAGACACAGACCCACTAGTTGTCTTCACACATGACCTCTCTTTCTCCGTTTTTGTCTCTGTCTCTCTCTCTCTCTCAGACACTCTCACACACATATACACCCCTATCATGAAGAACGGGGAAGGGAAGGGAGTGTTCAGATTTCATGAAAGCAGAGGAACTGGGCTTCCTGTTTGCAATTATCTCCAGATCCCTTGCTGCTTTCAGAAGGCTGCAGGGAAGGCCTACTTAAAATGGCTTGTTCCCAGGACAAGTGTTTGTGGGTTTGTCAAACCCCCTATCTTCCTGTGATTTAAGCATCATCTATGTTTGTTCACGACCCTAAAGGTTTCATGTTACATTTTCTTCTATATCATGGAGATTCCTCTCATATTCAAAGAAACTGCAAGGTATTATTTGAAGAGAAACAAAAGCGATGGCTGACGTGCTATTAAAAGATACGATTTCAGGGGTGTTTTGAAGAAATGCCATAGCATACTATATAAATGGGCAAGGACAGTTCAGACTTACTAGACGGTCCAGGTTGGTTCCTGCTGCAGTAGTTGGCTTCTCCTCAGGTGAGTAGGTGCGGAAACGGCGTCCGGTGTCTTGATGGGGGGCACGTCGGGAGCGGGCGGGGGCTGGGCGGGGGCTGCCACAACTCTGGAAAACCTGGC